AACTTTACATAGTATAAAATGTAAACTGATACTTGTACCGTTGCACCTGAAGTGATGTTTGTGAGAATTAAAAGCAATTAGGAGCTATATTGCACAGTTTTCAAGAGTAATCAATGCTTTGGTGCTTTCTCACATACGGGTTGTAGTGCATATCATTTGTTCATGAATATGTACAGAAACATCTACTGATGTACCTCATGTACATATAATATACGTAGTATGTTACTACGTCACGTCGTCACGTATGTACAGGGTTGTTGGTGTTGGTGGGGTGATTAGAGTTGTGGGGAAGATGGTGATGTAGGCTTGCATGGAAGTTTGAAGGAAAATAAAGAAGGAACAGTGGTTTGAATTTATAGAGTTTCCTTCTCCTTAAGAAACCTTTCAGTTTTCTTTAATTTCATTCTTTGATGTTTTAGTAGCAAAGAAAACTCCCTTCAATAACAGGGAATACATTCATAGAAGTACCTAAAATAAGGAAAGGAAGGAAACCTAGTAAATCATTTCTTATATAGTAAAGCTGATGGAGGTATCAAAATAAAGTCAACCTTATTTGAGCAAATCAATCTATCCCACCACTCTCAGCTCAAACATGTACTGGATTACTCTTCTCACAGCCTTATTTATTATAATGTAGCATGCATCATACTATGAGAACCTTGATTCACGAAATATATCTTTGAAATGTGAGAAAAAATTATTTATGCTTTGCTTCTTTTTGGGTGAATATAAAACATACTTTCATTACGTCGTTGTCATGATATCTTCTAAAAACTGATTCTTCAGCTTATGCTGTAATTCTTCTTTCATAATAGGCTTGCAGTTTCCAGAAGAAGTTCGTTCTAAGGCCTTTCTTAAGACAGTGTTTTGCATGTGCAGTTTTGCAGTTTATTATAACTCCAGTTTGATGAGCCCATTTATTGTTCGCCTTTTCTATTGTTCTAGAAATCCACAGATGGTTTAGTCAAAGTTTTAAAGGACGTCGTGAATAGTCCTTACGCACCCGAGTATGATATATCAGGGATCACAGACCCTTTTCTTCATATAAGATTGCTCGAGCTGTTGCGTGTCTTGGGACAAGGTGATGCTGATGCAAGTGATTCTATGAATGATATTCTGGCTCAGGTCAATTATTGGCCCCATTTCTTCATTTCTTGCTATATATGTACCATTTCTGGTTCTGATTGATTCATTGATCTGCCTATCTAATAAGAGGGCACTTTCACTTCAAATTCTCATATAAAAAATTGAAGCGGCATACTGCCTGATTTTAGGTGTCTATTATACAAATTATTAAGGTTTACAAATTACAACCAAAGTAGTCGATTGCAAAAATACTAAAAAACAGACTAGATTTCTTAATGTTTAGTGGATCTCTTCTCAATTAAAAGCCTTTATAATGGCACTGAATACTTAAGAATTTCATTATTAAACTTGACTCGACTTTGGTGGAAGATTAATGTCTTCATGCTCTCTGGGTGTCTGCCACTCTTTTCATTTATCATCTAAACATACAGTCATATTATCATTTTCTACTTCTGATTGACCTGATTATCAACTAGTCAAGTTATTGAGGAGTACTCGCGTTATAATCTCGTATCAAATATTCAAATGGCACACTTCCTGATTTTAGTTGTTTATTACTCCGTATTTATAAAGGATTACGTTTATACCAATGATAGGAATCAGTCCTGCGATACAGTAATCTAGCAACGGAAAGGGAAGAAATGATAGCTGAACAGTAATGGGAATGATCGTATAACAAACAAAACCAGCCTCCTTCCTTATTACAATATTTGGCTATTTATAGTAACTCCCCCTATCCCCCCCGATTACAACACGTAGCTATTTAATATTCTGTTTTCTCCTTCTTGAATACACCTGGTCATAATAGTTAACACTATTATTAACACCGGGCTGTCTTCCAGCATCCCTATCATCACCCCCCCCCCCTGAATTGACCACCTTGCCCTCAAGGTGGAGATCAGGGAATTGTTGCTGCAACTGCTGGGCATCTTCCCAAGTATCCTCAAAATCAGGCAGATTCTCCCAGTGAACCAGCACTTCTGCTTTACCAGTTGAGTTAACCCTGCGCCCTTTGATAGACTCTGGGTTGACTTGCAACTCCCACTCTTCTGTTAGGCATTTTGGTAAAGGTTGTGTTGGGGTAGAGGTAGGGACAGCCTTCTTCAGCAGGGATAAGTGAAAAACCGAATGCACCTTGCAGTCTTCAGGTAGCTTTAATCTGTAGGCCACTGGGTTGATCTGCTCAATCACTTCAAAGGGCCCATAAAACCTCGGGCTCAGTTTTTGATTCACCCTCTTAGCCAGACTTTTAAGTTTATAGGGCTGGATTTTCAAATAGACCCAATCTCCCACTACGAGCTGTACATCCCTTCTCATCTTATCAGCCAATTGCTTCATTTGGTTTTGAGCAGTTTCCAGATTGTGCTTTAATTCATCTAGAATTTCATTCCTGGCAGCTGTTAGTCTGCTAACCTCCTCCACAGCTGTCAATGACACATCGCCTCGAATTAGGACAGGTGGGTCTTGCCCATACAGAGCTTTATAAGGGCTATTCTTGGTTGATACATGATAATTTGTATTATACCAGAATTCAGCCCATGGCAACCATTGGGGCCAATGCTTGGGTTTCTTCCCTGTCATACACCGTAGGTAGGTTTCCACACATCGATTTACCACCTCTGTTTGTCCGTCAGTTTGGGGATGATAGGCTGTGCTATATTTCAACTTGGTGCCCGCTAATTTGAACAATTCAGCCCAGAATACACTCAAAAAAACACTGTCCTGGTCTGATACAATGGTCTTAGGAAATCCATGCAATCTGACAACTTCTTGTATGAACACTTCTGCCACACCTTTAGCATTGTAAGGGTGAGTCAATGCTATAAAGTGTGCAAACTTCGTCAATCTGTCTACCACAACCAGAATAGTATCTTTACCTTGGGCTTTAGGCAAACCTCCAATGAAATCCATGCTGAGGTCTGTCCAAATCTGCTTAGGAATGGGAAGTGGATGAAGTAATCCAGCCGGGCTCAAAGATTGATACTTATTTCGTTGGCAAACATCACATTGCTGAACATACTGCTTTATGTCTGTTCTCATTCCTTCCCAATAAAACAAAGATGAGATACTCTTCATTGTCTTAAAATTCCCAGCATGCCCCCCAATAGTAGATTCATGAAACTCCTTCAAAATGCTAGCTAGGGGTGGGAAAAACCGAACCGAAACCCGGAAACCGACCCTGGACCGACCCGAATTATGATTTCGGTCCAGGTTTTTTCTTTTTAACCGGCCCGAATTAAAAAAAACCCGGACCGAACCGAAAATTCCGGGCTCATTAACGGGCCTTAAAATCTATAACCCGGCCCGGACCGAAAAAACCCGAAACAATTAGTTTTAATATAAAATTAATATAGTATATGAATATAAATAAAATATTTCCTAATATATGATTATAATCACGGTGGATAAAAAAAGATTTAGTAACTTTTAGTGACTACAAATATGTTTAATTTGTTTAGCGTAATGATGACCATGAGAATATATTTATAGCAACTCTAGTAACTTTTTGATTTATAAAATTTATTTCGTAATATTTTTAAGAAACCTATATTATTTATATATATATACATCTTACATAAAATATTAAGATAATTATCTTCTTTAAATTTGAATTGTTGGTGATTTTGGAGACTAATATTTGTGTTATTAATTTGCAGTTTGTATTTTTGATTAATTTTATTTGAAAATAAGTGTTAAAATATAAAAGAACAATGACATATTTCACGGCCGGGCTTTAACCGGTCCAACCCGAACCCGGACCGAACCCGGGCTACCAAAAACCCGACTCGGACCGAATATAACGGGCTTTGTTCCGGTCCCTAATTTTCATAACCCGAGACCTTCCGGGTAATTTCCGGGTTTAGCAAAAACCCGACCCAGACCGGACCGATCCCACCCCTAATGCTAGCAATCCTTCCAGAATTCTTGGGAATAACCAATCTGCCCTCATAATACAAAAGCCCTCGGCTAACCTTGAAGTGTGGGATGGAGTCTGGTTCAGTCAACAATTTCTGCAGCATGGCTTTATATTTCTCATCCTCCCTTAATTCATCCTCTAGGCCTTCCCACTCTTGGCAGGTAACAACCGACAAGGAATAACAAATTCCCTTCCTGGACAAGGCATCTGCAGCTTTATTCTCCACCCCCGGCTTATATTTTATGACAAAATTGTATCCCAGCAACTTAGTCACCCATTTCTGTTGGTCTTCCCCCAAGATTCTTTGTTCAGTCAAAAATCTCAAGCTCTTCTGATCTGTGTGGATTTCAAACCTTCTGCCCAGCAGGTATGGCCTCCATTTTTGGACTGCCATCACAATAGCCATAAGTTCCCTTTCATAGACAGATTTTACTTGATTTCTATTGGACAGGGTTTTACTCATGTATGCTATTGGCCTCCCTTCCTGCATAAGAACTGCCCCAATACCCTTCCCTGATGCATCAGATTCAATGATGAAAGTTTGGTTGAAATCTGGTACTTTTAACACTGGCAACTGAGTCATTCTTTGCTTCAACTCATCAAAAGCCTGTTGTGCTTCTTCAGTCCACTTAAACCCATCTTTCTTCAGCAGATCATTCAGTGGAGATGCTATTCTGCTATAACGTTGGACAAATTTTCTGTAGTAACCAGTCAGCCTGAGGAAACCCCTCAACCCTTTTACATCAACAGGATATGGCCAGTCCAACATGTCAGCAATCTTACTGGGATCAGCTGCCACACCTTCTTTGGAGATAATATGTCCCAGATAAGCCAGTTGTGCTTGTCCAAAGGAGCATTTCTTTTCATTTACCACCAGTTGATGGTCTTTCAATAACTGCAACACCCTCCTCACATGCTCCCAATGCTCCACTTCTGATGAACTGTATATCAAAATATCATCAAAAAAAACTAGCACAAATCTTCTCAAGTAGGGTTTCAGGACTTTATTCATCAAAGCCTGAAAGGTAGAAGGTGCATTACTAAGCCCAAATGGCATCACTAAGTATTCATAGTGTCCCTCATGCGTTCTGATTGCTGTCTTATGCACATCCTCTTCTTTCATTCGTATTTGATGGTATCCTGATTTCAGGTCAAGCTTGGAAAAAATCTGGGCAGTATTTAATTCATCCAACAGCTCATCAATGATGGGGATGGGGAATTTGTCAGGCACTGTGATTCGATTGAGGGCTCTGTAATCCCCACAAAATCTCCATCCCTCATCCTTCTTTTTAACCATAAGCACAGGGCTGCTATAAGGGCTGGTGCTAGGCTGGATGATTCCCCCATTTAACAGCTCCTGTATTACCTTTTCCATCTCATTCTTTAAATACTGTGGATATCTATAGGGTCGTATATTTGGAATGGTTGAACCCACCTTGATATTAATAGAATGATCGCACAGTCCCTCTTGGGAGGTAAACCCTCTAGAGGTTTAAAAACCTCAGGAAATTCTGCCTTAAATCTCTGAATCCAACCCAGGTTGCTTGATTGTTCCTCCACCCCTGTGACTCCCTCATATTGGTATAAACAGTATCCCTCCTCCTGTTTAGGCATAGCTTTGACCAAGCTTTTCAGAGATACCACAGTTCTGCTCAAATGGGGATCTCCTTTAAGCATCATGGACTGGTCCCCCACAGTCCACTTAATAGATAGTTGATGGAAATTGAATTCCACATTGCCCAGATCAGACAACCATTCCATTCCCAAGACAATTTCAGTTCCCCCTAAATCGAGAGTGTAGAAATCTTTGGTTATTATGACCTGCTGCACCCTAACAGATAAAGCTTCACACCTTCCATTGTTTGTGATCTGATCACCATTGCCAATTTCCACCTTGAACTCAGGAATGTGCAGTACAGGGATCCCCATTTCTTGCACCACCCTGGCTGACACAAAGTTGTGAGTAGCCCCACAGTCTATCAATATCACAACCTCCTTCTTCCCTTTGCATCCCTGTATCTCACCCTTCAATTTGAAAGTCCTGGGAGTGGTCAGTCCTTCTTTACTCATCAATGATAGCTGCATTTTTGTGGGTCACTGATCTCCCTCTCAGGTGAATCTTCTAGACTGTAATCCCCCTGTTCTTCCTCCTCTTCTGAGTCATCTATCATCATAATCTGGAAATGTTTCATTCTGCAAATGTGGCCTTTTCCCCATTGTTCCCCACACTTGAAACAAAGCCCCTTTCTGCTCAATTCCTGCAACTCCGACTGGGTTAGCCTGTGTGTCCCCTTCACTCCAGTATTCTTAATGACTGCCTCATTGTTCTTTTCAACACTGGATTTATCCATACCCGACTGATTGCTGGACAAATTTCCCTTCCATTTATTCTCTTGCAACCATCTTTGAGACTGAGAAGAAATATTCCCCTTTGGCCCTGTAAAATATAAGATTGTATTCAATATACTTCATATGAAATCCTATACAAGAAGCTATATTTATAGCTATATTTAGAGTCCTAGGGTTTCCTATACAAGATATACAAAATGGGCTAAGCCCAATACTACTAGGGTTTCCACACTCCCCCTCAAGCTGGAGCATATAAATCATATGTACCAAGCTTGTTACAAATATATTCCACTCTAGGACCTCTAAGAGACTTAGTTAAAATATCTGCAAGTTGTCCAGTTGTGTTCACATATTTTGTGATGATATGTCCACTGGTGATCTTCTCTCGGATAAAATGACAATCAACTTCAATATGTTTTGTCCTCTCATGATATACCGGATTTGATGCGATGTGCATTGCAGCTTGATTATCACACATGAGTTGAGCTGGTTTTGTGTTTCCATATTTTAACTCTTGGAGGAGATGCTTCAACCATAAGATTTCACAGGTAACAAGGGCCATTGCACGATATTCTGCTTCAGCACTAGATCTGGCAACCACATCTTGTTTCTTACTTTTCCATGAAATTAAGTTTCCACCAATCAAGATGCAATATCCCGAAGTGGAACGTCTATCCATCAGACATCCGGCCCAGTCTGCATCACAGTATCCCACAATATCACGGTGGCCTCGATCTTCAAACAACAATCCTTGTCCTGGAGTTTTCTTGATGTATCTCAAAACTCGAATAGCTGCATCCCAATGTCCAGTACATGGCTTATCAAGAAACTGGCTAAGAACACTTACCGCAAATGAAATATCTGGTCTCGTGATGGTAAGATAATTCAATTTTCCGATGAGTCTTCTATATTTTTCCTTGTTGGGCAAAAGATCTCCCTGTTCTGATACGAGTTTAACGTTCGGATCCATTGGTGTATCCACTGGCCTGCAATCTAGCAAACCTGTTTCCTCAAGAATATCCAAGGCATACTTTCTTTGTGAGAGAGCAATTCCATCTTGAGACTGTGCAACCTCAATGCCAAGGAAGTATCTCAACTTTCCCAAGTCTTTTGTTTGAAATTTGCTAAACAGATGTTGCTTGAGGAGAGCAATTCCTTGATCATCGCTACCTGTAATGACAATGTCATCAACATACACAACAAGATAAATACATTTGTTGCCAGCAGAATGTCTGTAGAATATAGAATGATCAACATCACTGCGAATCATGCCAAAGCTGCAAACAACGGCACTGAACCTCCCAAACCATGCACGTGGAGATTGCTTCAAGCCATATAATGAACGACGTAATCTGCACACCATACCAGACTCCCCCTGAGCAACAAATCCAGGTGGTTGCTCCATATAAACTTCCTCGTGCAGATCTCCGTGAAGGAATGCGTTTTTAATATCCAATTGGAACAATGGCCAGCGGCTCATTGCTGCCATGGATAAAACCAAACGAACTGATGCAATCTTCGCTACAGGAGAAAAAGTGTCAGTGTAATCCAAGCCATATATCTGAGTATACCCTTTCGCCACAAGGCGTGCTTTAAAACGATCAATCTCCCCATCAGGCCCAACCTTAACCGTGTAAATCCACCGACATCCCACCACTGATTTGCCAGTGGGAAGGGGGACTAAGTCCCATGTCCCACTAGAATGAAGAGCCTCCATCTCAGCCAACATGGCTTTACGCCACTCTGGGTGTGTCAGTGCCTCATGTGTGGTTTTAGGAATGCATATATGAGATAGGTGTGAAATAAAGGCATAGTAAGGGGTAGAGAGGCGGTGATAACTCAAAAAGTTATATATGGGATGTGGATTCAATGTGGAACGCGTACCTTTTCGGAGAGCAATTGGCAAATTATCCTGAGTGGTGTCAAGTGCTGGAGTAGGTGATGGTGGTGATGCAGGATCCGTCATAGGGGAATCAACGGGCGTGGCCATGATGGGCTCAATGGGAGGAGGTCGAGGACGTCGATGGTATACCTGTAATGGACGATCTGACATAGGAGGGCAGTTTGGGTGCTCATCAGATGGGGGGTTAATGGGAGGCTCCTGATGGATGGGCCGAAGATATGAGGTGAAGTCCAAACATGATGGGGTATTAACTGAAGATAATGGATAATAAAAGGACGACTCAATGAAAGTGACATCAGCTGAAATAAAATGTTTCTTAAGTAATGGAGAATAACAACGATACCCCTTTTGGAGTCGTGAATATCCAAGAAAGATACATTTTATTGACCTAGCCGCCATTTTAGCTAATCCCGGTGTCGTATCATGGACAAAACACACACACCCAAACACATGAGGTGGTAATGGAAATAAATCACGAGCAGGAAACAAAATAGAATAAGGAATTTCATTATTAAGAACTGAGGAAGGCATTCTATTTATTAAATGACACGCAGTGAGTACAGCATCTGCCCAATACTGAGGTGGTGTATGGGAATGTAATAATAGGGTACGAGCAGTATCAACCAAGTGCCGGTTCTTGCGTTCAGCAACCCCATTTTGTTGAGGCGTGTGAACACAAGAAGATTGGTGAAGCATACCCCGTGATGTCATGAATTGATTAAAGGATGCCCCAAAAAATTCTTTAGCATTGTCACTGCGTAAAATTTTGATAGAATGACCAAACTGAGTTTGAATTTCAGCACAAAAAGTTTGAAAAATATGAAACAATTCAAAACGCTCTTTCATTAAAAACAACCATGTGTAACGGGAAAAATCATCCACAAAAATAACAAAATAACGGAAACCTAAAGTAGAAGTGACTCGATACGGACCCCATACATCTGTATGAACTAAATCAAACGGTGATGTAGCCCGGTTATTGACTCGCCTTGGAAAGGATTTACGAGGTTGTTTTCCAAGGTGACATGACTCACATTCTAAAGATGAAAGATTGGAGAAACCTGGAACCATACGTTGAAACTTTGAGAGACTAGGATGACCCAGACGATTATGTAAGGTAATAGCAGGTTCAACTGAAACACAAGCGATTGGATCAAGAGGATGGAGGTGATACAGACCTTGAGATTCATGGCCGACGCCAATTGTTTTCCCCGTACAACGGTCCTGCACAATCACAGAATCAGCAGAAAATGTTACGGAACAATTAAGAGCACGTGTAATTTTACTGACAGAGACAAGGTTAAAAGGGGTGTTTGGGACATATAAGACTGAGTCTAATGGTAAGGATGAAAGTGGAAGCGCTTGCCCAATACCCGAAGCCGAAGTTTGAAGGCCATTAGCAAGAGTAATCAAAGGAAGATGTCGGTGCTTGGTAATATGGGATAAAAGATTGGGATTACCAGAAATATGGTCCGAGGCACCTGAGTCAATTATCCATGAGCCTGCTGTGTTTGAAACGCAAGCGGTAGACATCCCCGTTGTAGATAATGGCATAGTAGTCAACTTAAATTGCTGATATGCTGCATATTCTTCTGGAGACAGAACAATGGGAGATGGTGGGATCTGAGCAACGGTGACTGGGGTAGGAGGTCTCCCATGTAATTTCCAACACCTGTCTTTAGTATGACCAATTTTATGACAAAAATCACATTTAGGACGGTTCCGTCTTGAGAATCCGGTGTTGTTTCCTCCGTCAGAATTCATAAAAGACAGCTTGTTTTTTTTCTTTTTTCTTTTTTTTTTTCTGTTTTTTTTTTTTTTTTTTTTTTTTTTTTTTTTTCTGTTTTTTTTTTTTTTTTTTTTTAAAGAGCAGCAAAAAATAAAATATTTAAAGTAGTGCAACTGCAATTGAAGTGAAGCAGCCGTAAGGTTGAAGGCATCAGGTTGAAGCACTGTAGCTACACAAGGATGAAGGAAAACAGACCTCTATCATCTTTGGGAGGTGCGGACGACGGCGAAGGGAGACTGCAGGGCGGCGGCGGCGAGCGTACGACGCAGGGAGACGGCGGTCGGCGGCGAGCGTACGATGCAGGGAGACGGCGGTCGACGGCGGCGGCGCGGTCGACGGCGGCGGCGCGTTTGACGGTGGCGGCGCGTGAAGCGGTCGACGGCGGCGAGTTTTACGTCGTTCTGGTCGCCGGAAACTCAGGATCTTCCGCTGGTTGGAGGTGTCAACGCCAGATAAGCAGAAAGAGAGAGATCTGCAAAAATGAAAAACTGCAGAAGTATGCTTCAGCGGCACGCGGTGGCGCGTGGATGATGCGGCGCAGGTGATTCCTCCGGCGGTAAGTCACGATGTACCTTTGAGCACGGCGGTAGGTTGATATCACTACCGAAAGCACTCAATTGAAAGTGACGACACTGTTCACGCCGGAATTCTGACCGGAAATTACACCAGCAGAAAAAAAAATCATAAACACTACACTAATATTGCCACACTGGCTCTGATACCATGTAAAATATAAGATTGTATTCAATATACTTCATATGAAATCCTATACAAGAAGCTATATTTATAGCTATATTTAGAGTCCTAGGGTTTCCTATACAAGATATACAAAATGGGCTAAGCCCAATACTACTAGGGTTTCCACAGGCCCTCTTCTTTCTTCCTCCTTACCCTTTGTGAGGTTCAGTGTTTGGTTTCTTTCTTCTACCCTCAAGGCCTTATTCATGATTTCAGTCAGTAACTGGATTCAATTTCAATTCAGCTCTAACTTCTGCTTTCAGACCCTTCATAAAAATTCCTTTGAGAAATTGAACATCAGTGTTCTTCAAAGGACCTGCCACTAGCTCAAATTCATCCCGATAATCCATCACACTCCCAGTCTGCTTCACATTAAGCAAAGGACCATAAGGATCCTGTTCCAGACCTGGTTCAAATCTTTCTAATAAAGCCTGTTTAAATAATTCCCAATTTCTAACATTTGAATGTTCCTCCCACCATTGATACCAATTCAAAGCTCTTCCTTCCATGGCTAAGGTAACCAACTCAATCTTATCTTCCTCAGCAATATGGTTCAGTTTAAAAAAACGCTCAACCTTAATGGTCCATCCATAAGCATCTGAACCATTAAAGAGTGGCAAATCCACTTTTCTCCCAGATTTCTCAATCAGTCTACTGTGGTTATCAGCACGCTTAGAATGAGTCGATCGCAGATTACCTGCAGTGGAACTGGAGTCGCAGCTACTCTTCCGCGAGCTGTCTTTGGAAGATTTGGATCGACTGCGATGCCGCGAACTGGTTTTGGAGGATTTGGATCGACTGCGGGAATGGTGATCGAGCTTCTCCATCATCATCGCGATATTGCGATTAACCTCCTCACTCCGGATTCGCGCCTCCTCGCGATCCCTCTCCCGCTCGCGATCGAATTTCTCCGCCTGCCTCGCCAGTTCGCGCTCCAGTGTTTCCAAACGATCGTCCATGTTGCGTCTGGTAGCAACCATAAGGAGGTCTCACGATCGAGTCTCTGATACCAAATGATAGGAATCAGTCCTGCGATACAGTAATCTAGCAACGGAAAGGGAAGAAATGATAGCTGAACAGTAATGGGAATGATCGTATAACAAACAGGAAAGAGAACAAAGTCTGGCAGTTTTAAGAGATGCCTCTCTCCAAGTCCCAGCCCAAGCCAAAGCCAAAACCAGCCTCCTTCCTTATTACAATATTTGGCTATTTATAGTAACTCCCCCTATCCCCCCGATTACAACACGTAGCTATTTAATATTCTGTTTTCTCCTTCTTGAATACACCTGGTCATAATAGTTAACACTATTATTAACACCGGGCTGTCTTCCAGCATCCCTATCAACCAAGGTAATGGAATGCAAAAAATTAAGGAACAATCCAGATTACTGAATGACTAGTCGACCTATGGATCCCACTACGACTTCACTACCCTACAAAATTCATGCAATCAACACAATCAATTAACATGTGAATTGTGATACCGGAATTCTTAAACTATGTTAATGATCCTCAACTCTATAAACCCATAAGCATGGCTTAATTAATTTGAATCTCTTATGATTTAAGAGCCTTTATGATTGCATTAAAGACCTAAGAATTTCACTATTAGACATAACCCTAATGTGATGGAGGGTTGATCAGTTGATGTCTTCATGCCCTCTGATTGTCTGCCACTCTTGTCATTTATCATCTAAACATACTGCCATATTATCTTTTTTTGAGTCAAGACAACAATATAAACATGTAACTAGTCACAATAAATAGATTCTGATCAGTGTAATTAAAAAACTACAAATCAAGATTTGTCCTTGGGTTTCACCATTTTCAAGCACCAGAAGGTTTAACTCCATATCATTTTGAAAATCTCAACTTGAATTTTACATGAGGAAATTCAACTTGAAGAAACTCTGCTATTTGAACATTCTTTGATTGGAACTTCAAAATGAGTGTCTGATGCTAAACATTGCTTGAAAATCACTAGTCTCAAGGGCTGTATCAGGTCGCCTATTGGGTTTATAAAATAATTTATTTTTTTCCATGGAGGAGGTTTAAATATGCCACCCAGAGAAGTCCCAGTGGACATCACACCCTATGAGACTGGGCATTATTGGGTCGCTTTGATTTATTCCTAAATAGAATGTGAAACGGCTTGTCATGATCCATCACACGGGCCATGTGATTCTCATCCACAAAATTTTTCAGCTTCTTCCCTTGTAAGCTGCAAGTCATTATGCACACTTTACTCCGCCACTGTAGCACTCTTACAGCCATGTGATTTTTCTTGAGCACTCTATTTTGATCAAATTTTCCCAAGACATATCCAAATAGGAAAAATACCTTCTTTTTTTAATTCCATAGGTCCATGATAAACAATATACTAAAGTCACAAAAAATATATCCTCTTTGTATACTTGCGCTTCTCTAGGTGTTGGCCTTAGATGGTATTTTGTGTTGTAATACAAAGTCTGGTGCTCACTTTCTTTTTAAGACTTTTTGAGACACCGCATTATTTTTCTAGGTAGCTACAAAAACTGAATCCAATAAGAATGCTGGCAATGCCATTCTGTACGGATGTGTTGCCACAATTATGAGCATTGAAGATAATGGTGGATTACGCGTGCTTGCTATCAATATCCTGGGGAGATTTTTATCCAACCGTGACAATAATATCAGGTTATCTTCATTAGTTATAAACTTATAATGCATATTGGCATGAGAGCGTGCTTGGCCCTCTCCCCTGAAGTTCACATAGCTGTTTGGTAATGCATATAGTTCTTTCGTTTTCTTCTCTGTCCATCTCATAGATTTCCAAATAATCTTCAGATATGTGGCACTGAACATGCTGATGCGAGCAGTTACGGCGGATAGTCAAGCAGTGCAGAGGCATCGAGTAACAATTTTAGAATGTGTGAAGGTACTATATGTTTATAGTTTGGACTTTATTTCACATAGACATATCTTTTCCTTTTCTAGATTTTCATCTTTCTTTACTCTAATATACTCATTTAGCAACTTATACCATATCTTAAGAATATTGTACTATTGTAGTCTAATGGTAATTTGCTCTCTTTTTTTGTTATTATTGGTGAGTGCTACTTTGATACCACGCAAAAGGGAAAATTTATATAAATAAATACCTAGTCTTATCCTCCTCTCCGGATATTGTACTCAGGCTCTGTAGGCACTGCCAATGTTATCTGGTCAAATATACCTTGAGACAAAATCTAATGTCCTCTTGTTACATTATTTCCGGGGAAGTATCTAGTAGGAATGTAAATTTAATTCTGATTGGATGATATGCGTGCTAGTGTCTGCATGTATATTGTATAGAATCATAGCATGATCGCAAACACTTTGTATTAAGTAGTTAAAGATTCTAATCTCATGTAGAAATATGTAGAGTGCACGATGATATTACCAATGCATCTTATCCCAAGCAGACCGGGGTTGATGCGTAGTGTAGTTGCATGGTGGACTATGTGTTTATGGGTTGTGGGGAGATGTTTGCATTGATCATTTAGGCTTCAAATTCCACTGAAATCAAGAAAGTACATACTGGTTTCTTTTATTTTCCTTCCATGTTTGTACTTATACATTAGAACTTCATACATCAATTTTCACTCAGGATTCAGACCCTTCAATCCGCAAAAGGGCCCTTGAGCTTGTGTTTCTTCTAGTCAATGAAAACAATGTAAAGCCTCTGACCAAGGAACTTATTGAATATCTGGAAGTGAGTGACCCAGATTTTAAGGGAGATCTCACTACCAAAATTTGCTCCATAGTGGAGAAGTAAGTGATTAGAAGGTTTTCCTACGTATAATGTCTGTTTGGACAAACATATTTTCAAATGCATTTTTCATCACTACAATATGCTGACGCAGGTTTTACCCGGATAAAATTTGGTACATCGATCAGATGCTCAAGGTTCTATCTGAGGTATGCATAATTGCAGACTGTACTCTAGACTTAAGAGTTTGTTGGGCTTGCCCTATGTCATAATGATTACTGAAATGGATTGTTCAATTCCACTGAACAAATAGTATGTCTGCAATTTCATGATATCTGGTGCTTTTCAATAGTGCACCATTTCCCCCCTCATCAACTTTTATCTAGCCTTGTGCAGTAGACTGAATGAGTGATGTTTCTTGTATTTTTAGGCTGGAAGTTATGTTAAAGATGAAGTTTGGCATGCCCTCATTGTGGTGATTACCAATGCTCCCAACCTCCATGGATATGCAGTACGATCTTTATATGGGGCATTGCAAACTGCAGGAGAGCAGGTATCTTCTTTATTGTTGTAGGGTAAAAAGTAATGCTTATGTTTCTATAGCATTTTTACTACGACACAATGTGTTAAAACTTAAAAGCAAGGTTGTTAAAATCGTATTTTTGAATCGAATCGGTAAAGAGATTTAAAAATCGGATCGTAAAATCGAATCGTAAATCGTAAGATTCTATAAAAAAAATAAAGAATATATATTTAAAATATTAGATGATAATAGTCATAATATATCATTATTATGGCAAATAGTGTTAAATTTCTAGTCGTACAATTTTATACTCATTATTAAAAGCTCATAATAATAAGAAAGATAATTCTCTAAAAAAAATACTCCGTATGAAAGATAATGGATAAAAAAAGTAATTACTACTCCCTCCGTCCCATTTTACCTGTCCTACTTTCCTTTTTGGGTTGTCCCAAAATAAGTGTCTCCTTTCTTTTTTTGGAAAGAAATATGTGGCCTACATCATTTCACTTTATTATACTCAAACATCAACCACAACTTTTACTTTTTCAACCACTTCATTAATAACCGTGCCAAGTCAAACTAAGACACATAAAATGAGACGGAGGTAGTACATAGATAACAAATGTAAGGAATCTTGAATACAACTACGAAGTAGTTGAGATGGTATAAGTGGATAGCTTGGCATCTTTAAAATTTTCTAGTGGGTCCAGTCCCTGCTCGTGCATAGAGGGTGTTTTAGTTTTCAAAAGCTTTGTTTCATTTCCCACACTGGACAAAGAGCGCAGCTGCTCCTCTCAGTACTATAATAAATAGTAACCTTCTACACCTATTAAAAGTACCAGCAACGATTGCGGGTCCGAAGACATGGCTGGGCCTTGCCTTTTGCCTTCAGTCGGGCCTAATTTAGTTGGGCTGCGTTTTAGTTTAAATCGTAAAGTTGTATTTAAATCGCGATTTTAAGCGATTTAGAACGATTTAATTATGAATTTTATCCGATTTAGTTCAAATTCGATTTTATATACGATTTGGATCGATTAGGTGATTTGGAATCGTAAAATCGTACGATTTTACGATTTGAATCGCGATTTTAACAACCATGGTTAAAAGTAATCTTCTTTACTATGACACAATGTGTTATTACTTATTACTGATCTGATACATTGTGCTTTTGTAAGGAAATTCTTGTCAGAGTTGCAGTTTGGTGCATTGGAGAATATGGGGAAATGCTAGTTTCAAATAAAGCAATGCTTGATATAGAAGAGCCTGCCACCGTAAGTTCCTAATCATCTGTTGCAATTTTATGTTCAATGCAAGAACATGACATGTGTTGAGTAAATCTGGTGGCTGGTTTTCTAAGTCTGCTAAGGATTTTGTATTAATGGGTTGAAAACACTATTGTGATGAGCAAAAAAACTTATGTTCAGTCTCCTTTAAACAAATGCCAAGCTTTTCCTTTGTCTGTTCCCATGGAATTCAATAACATTGGTTTATTTGAGTGCATAAGATTATGAATGCTGATGGATATTTTTGCATCTTCAATCCTTTCTCTTTGCTAAAGTAAGAAAATCGAAAAAGATATTTTTGATGGGTGCCTGGAAGGGGCAAGTCTTCACTTCAAATGTAGCAGTATTGCTTTTATTTTTCTTTCAGTTCAACTGTAAAAGGTAATATTTTCCAAA